TTCGTAGATAGATCCTCATAATTGGCCTTTACCCTGATATGTTTTAAATGAAAAACACAATACAAATCAATAAAAAAAAATTATTTATAAAGGTGACATTGAGTAATAAAATTTTGAAATTTATACAACATCGACTAAAATAATGTAGTTGTCCATTTTTATACACTTTTGTTAGAGGTTTATCTTTAGTTATTTATTTAAGCCAAATGCTAACACATGTCCATAACCATTGTTTAATATTAGGATTGAGATAAAATGTGTCTCGGGAATAATCTTTTGACAATATTTAAAAAAGTTAATTTATTGATACTTTTATATTTTTTTTGCAATTTTTTTCGTAATAGGTAAAAACATCAACTTATAAACTATATCTAAAACAACCCTAAATGAAAAAAGTTAAAAAATGTATTGAATACAGTAAAAAAAATGTCTCCTATTTTATTTTATTTTATTTATTTTATATTACTTTTTTTTTTGTCTTTTTCTTATATTTCAATGGCATTTGTTTGCAAGCCTCTTTATTTAACTAATATTTTATGAAGGGCTTTTTTTTATTTTTTTTATTTTAATGTTAGACTTTCCATATGATATAATATTAGATTTTCTTTTATAATTAATATTATAAATATTTCCTCAGTGATTGATAAATATTTATAATATTTATAAATATTAATTTATACATGATTAGTTTGCTTTAAATTATAAACTTTTAATGGAAAACTAAGACCATCTCTAATGGTTTATCAAATTTATCATTAAATTTAAATTTGATAAAAAAAATTACATTTTACTACGGTTTATCAAACCCATTATCAAATTTAAGATTTCACTTTTTTTTCATTAAACTGAGAATTAATATATCTTTTATCAAATCATTGTTCATTACTATTGGATTTTCACCACCGGATATGATATCCCCAGATGACCACCTCAAGACAAAGATTTATAAAAAAATTATACTTGCCGGTCGTCTACTCGGTAAACCGGTGGTTTAATAAAGTTATAAGACTTTTCGTTAAAGCACTTAATATCAAAAAAAATATATATATTTAAATTTTTATTCAAATTTAATAAAAAAATTAATACATCATTGAAGAGGCCTTAACCAAGAGTAGTGAGACATTTGGCAATAATTTGACAACTTTGCAGGTCAGCGCTTAACGGGCATTGCGCTATCTCACGCACGCTGTCAAATGTGTTATAACTACAGAGAAAATAAATAAATAAAGCATTATATATAGATTTTTATAAATATAAATGAATATAAATAGGGTAAATTATGAATAATGCTTGGGTCCCCTTTTGGGGGTCACCCCCTCACCCCCTTTGCTACGTGGCAGGGGGTGATTGGTGGAGCAGGAAAAAAAAGAAAAAGAAAAAGAAAAGTTAACCAATGAGAGAGAGAGGGGGTCAAAGGGGGTGGGGAAAAAGGAGGGATGAATCATTACTCGTAAATTATATTCACTTTTCCTGAGATTTATAATAATGGCAGATATTGGCCCCCTCAAGTTTCTAAAATGACAGTAATCTTTTTTAGCTTGTTTTTCAGTTGATTTTTATCATATTAACTGTGGTTGATTTGTTAAATGATTAAACTACATTTTGATTTACAAATGCTAATAAATTTTAAAATAATTATAATAGTATTAAGCTGTACGAATACTACCTTTTGTTATTTTGCTGTGTGATTCACATATTGAAAATATAAAATTTTAAAAATAGTTTTATGAAAAAAACACCTTTTATTTTTTTAAAAGAAAATATTAAATTGTTTTCATAAAAAGAAAAAGAAAAATTTGATTTTCTATAAAATAAAATAAAACAACTTTGGCTTTCTTATGGCTAGGTTTGGATCATGGATCTGAGTAAGAATTTGAAAATGAAAAATATGATATGAGTAACTATTCCATTTATAATTCACCTTTTTTTTTTCCTTCTAAATTCTTACATAAATCCATAATTCAAATATAATCTGACAAAAAATGTTAAAAGATTGTTACCATTGAAAAAATACATAAAGTGTACGAGTTTATAAATATTTTGATATTTTGTACTTCTTATTGATAGCTTTTAGGATTATCATTAACAAAATCCTTCTTTAAAAACACTAGGATCATTAATTTGGTAGTGTTGCTAGAGAACTCAGGCCTCGTCTGGCATGTGTTTGTTTTAGCTTAAAAATCAAAAAGTCATTAAAAAAATCAAAAGTCTATAACTTATACCGAAAAGTCAAATATTTCATTTTCTCTCTATTTTTTACACATCTTTTCATAAAAAATTAAAAAGTCATTCCAAACATATTAATTTTTTTTTATCTCATATTTTAGCTAAAAGATCAAAAAATTACTAAAGTAACATGTTCTCAAACGAGGCCTTATATTTTTTTGGTATTGTAGAGGTGATAATATCTATTTATTAGAGTGGATGAAGGGTGAAATATTTTTTTAAAAAAGAAATCTTCAATTTCAATTATTCTTATTGACAAAAATAAAATAAAATAGTGACAGAGAAAGGAATATGAAATACTATTTTGAAATAAATGAGGATGTAAGACCTCATTTGGTAACCTTCTGTTTTAGTCAAAAAATCACTATAAGTTGTCATATCACTCTCTCTATTTTTCTGCATATCTTTTTATAAAAAGTAAAAAATTATTAAAATAACATATTCTTAAATAAGGCCTAAGTATCATTTTAAAAACATAATATGAGATAGCTGTAATTATTATAAACTTTAAGAGAGGTAGTGTGCTTTACGTACGAACATTTTTTTTTTCTTTTGATAAGTAAAAATAAATAGGATAAATTATAAATTAAAATTTATTTAAAATAGAAATTATTCATTGTAATTTAAAAAAATTATAAATATCCCTTTATTATAATTTTTTATTTAATAGAATTAATTAAAAAAAATTATAATTATTCTTCTATATAATAATAAAATTACATAAATTATTAATTAAAATATATTTTTAAAATCATTAAAAATTGTTAATTGACTTGATTATTTATTCTTAAAATGAACAATTTAGTATGAAATTAAAAAATTTAAAGGGTAAAAGCGATTTATATTTTAATTAAATTTTAAAAAATATATTTATAATTTATCTAAATAAATAATATTCGCCGGCTGAAAATGAATATCGTTTGAAACGGAGAGCCAACAAAAAATAAGAAAAAAAAAACGACTGTTTCGAGCGTTCTTTCTTTTCTTTTCAACTCACCGAGAAAAAGAGAGAGAAAATTTTATACACAACCGAGAAAATTCTTAGAGAGGCTAAAAAAAAAAAAAATTACAACAGACAAGCGAATCGTTAAACAAGAATTCAAATTATTTACATACCTACACACACACACATATATACCTTTATATTGTATTATTATGTAACAATTATGACCTTGTGTTGTCCCTCTCTCTCTCTCTCTATCGCTCTCCTTCTCCTGGCTCTCTCTCATCGTCCTCTTCCCTCTCGTGCCCTAGATCTCAAACACTTGTAACACCGAGATTTGCCTCTGTAGATCTTCTTTCGTTAATTACTCTCAACTTCGTGATTTATCAGATCTCTCTTTAGCTTTCACGTCTCGCTCAATCAGGTATTGCGTCTCATTCTCATTATTGTTTTGCTGTTTTCTTCGCTTTTGATTTTCAAATAAATTAATCGAAATGAGTGATTAGAGTAAATTTCTTAATTGTGGGAATTTGAAAAATATGATTTTTTTTTCTTTTTTTAAATGTATATAGATGTAGTTTGATTGTAATTGTTTTGAATTCATATATTGGGTTTTGTGAAAAGATAATAATTTTTTGGGTTTGACTAATGGGACAATGGAGGGTACATTCTGGATTCAAATATGCACGTCTATATCTAAATGTGTGTATATATGTTGTAAATTGGCTTCATCCTGATGGGAGTTGGGTTTGGCAGCTTCATCTATGTGTGTATATATATATTGATTTATATATATATATATATATATATATTAAATTGATCTTGATTGGAGTTGGGTTTGGTAGCTTCAATTGAGATGGATACTAGGTAGGTTTGATTTCTGTTGTAAACTCTGTTATTTATTAATTGTGGGGGATATCAGTTGGTTTTGTTGGTTGGGCAATTTAAGAATTTTGAATAGAATTATTTGGTTATCATTAGTTTAATATTCCCTCATGTTATTATTCTTTCTAAATCAGAGTTTGGGTTTCAAATCCCATCAATTTTTCAGCAAGGTCTGCGTTTTCTTGCCCAGAATCTGATATGATTTGTTATTATAATTCTGTGGATTTTTAAGATATTTGTTTCAGTCTGGAGTTGCATTTTTTTATTTTTGTGCAATTGGGTTTTTGGGAAATTGATTTCAGTTTCAAACTGGTGGCCTCCCGTTTCAATTCTAATGTTCTTATTAGTTGAAGCTAGATGCTTGCCCTAAAGGTTTACATTACTAGATTTCCTGCTTGCTTGGTGTCTAGCTAGTATCTTATGTTAGCGATTGTAAATCAGTGACTGGATCATGTGACTTTTATTTTTTATAGTCATTAAAAAGATTGGGCATTTGTTGGCCACTCTCATTATTAGGAAATTTCTGGTGCTCAGTTAGGCTTTCTGGCTGGTGTTGGATGATACTCCCTTGAACCGACTTTTGGGGGAAAATTTTCTTCATTGATTAAATAATAAATTCACGCATTTCTCAGTTCTGTGGCAACCTGCATTCATGCTATGCTTATGAAAATTTGCATAATCTCTCTCTCTCTTAATTTTCAAGTGGCTGAGATTCTTATTGATTCTAGGTTACTCATTGCAATTAAATTATTTGAGATTAAGGTACTCCTTACTGTGCTATATTTGTCTCTGCTTGCAGATTCAGATTCCACAAACTAAATCAGTTTATTGAAGGCTGGTTGTAGGATCTTAGGTGTTTTCTCTTAATAAAGAGTGTGCTGTATGGACACAGTGGTAAGGCAGTGAGTTATTTTGAGGTCAAGCTGTTATGCGTAAACTACTCTAAATGAAGACAGCTCAGGCGTGGCGTCTAAGAATGAAGGACATGCAGATCTTGCCCGCGCCTCGCCACCGTGCCCACTTGAAGAAGCCAACATGGATAATTGTCTTGGTTTCATTGGTCTGCGTGTTCTTGATTTGCGCTTATATTTATCCACCCCACAACTCTGCTGCCTGTTATGTGTTCTCTTCCAATGGTTGCAACGGATTTTCCCAATGGATGCCACCTCCTCCTTCAAGGGAGTTTACTGATGATGAGATTGCTTCTCGTGTTGTGATTAGGGATATTTTGAATATGCCTCCAGTTCAATCGAAGAATCCTAAAATTGCTTTCATGTACTTAACACCAGGTTCATTACCTTTCGAGAAGCTGTGGGATAAGTTTTTCCATGTAAGACATGTTTTTCTTAACATTAATGATTGGAATTAGTTGTTTGCTAATTTGAACCTTTCTTTTAATATGTCAACATTTTAAAAAATTGCTACCATATGTTTGTTTCTTTTTTCTTGTGTAGAAAGAGGTAACATGTAATAATCTGGTTGATCTTGTGAACATCTAAGTGAAAATATGTTTGAAGTGCCTATAGAATGTACCTTAAGATGAAGCCGAATGGAAAATGATGGATTGATGGTAAGAGTTGCTTACCATTTATCACTGGAGTGCTTTGGTAAGTCATCGGAACATGGTTTTATGAATGTGGCAAGAACTAGATGCAACACAGTGTGGCAGAATTATGGTTTGATGTATTGATGAGACTATTACTGTGTTAAAAGTATGATCAATAATGTAAGGATGATCTCAATTCCTACATGGATCATGTCTTGGATTTACCTGAATGGAATACGTGGTACATATGTGTGTGTGTGTGTGATTTAACTATTTATAGAAGATTCCAAGAGGTGCAATCATTAAACTACGGACTATACTTGGTTCCATTATGAAATATTAGGCAAGGGTAATTTGACAGTTTTTAATTGAGTGAAAAAATATAGATTCTGGTATAGTCAGTTGTCAAATTTTGTGTATTGACATTGCTATTTGCACTTTCGTATCATGTTTTGTATCATTCCGAGTCATGTATTGAATAGAAAATATGTTGAAAGAGTTTTTAATACAAGGAACATGAAATACATAACCAAGTAATGTTCATTTACAAGATAGATTAGAGAATCCTAGTTTTTAACTCTAGATATCACAATTAAAGTTTTGCCTTCAATAGCATATGGTCTTCCTATGTCCAAGAATTAGAAAGGAAAGGAGAGTAAAGTAATTTAGAGTGGAACCAAGAATCCTGTTTCTCATTAATTTTGTCAAACCACCAACTGATTGTGATCTCCTTTTTGTCTAGCTTCAATACCGTAGTATATGAGCTAGCCTTAAGCTAATTTCTAGATATAAAATGAAATATGATATGCATGCTGATTCATTCTCAAGATGATATAGGTTTTTATCTCGTCCATGCAACTAGAATTAGGTATTATTTGATGTACTGACCATTTTGAAATCATATATCAGGCATGTTTTGTGGTTGCAACTTTTGTTTAATCCTTGAATTTTAGTGATCCCTTCTCTCAATCTAGGCTTTTGTGTAATATTAATTATGATGGTATTTGGTGAATTTATGCCATTTGATTTTCATGTTCAATTATCTTGCAGATTCTATTATGATTTTTAAGTAGGTCAAAATTACGTTGATCATTCAATCTTTATGCTTTTTTTACATGTGCCTCTGCTCAGAAATTATCTTTGTAGTGAAAATTCAAATACGATAATTGTATTATATCAAATATTTTGATGCAAACACAAATCGTCACTGATTGCTTCACAAAATGCATTTCAACTGATATTACAATAATTTACATAAAAGTTTAAAAGGAATTAAAAAAGCTAACAGACTTATTAAGAAGTGTTGTAATCTATGCAAAATGACCCCTCTTGACACCTTTTGTATGAGAGCTTCACTGATCTCTTGTACTTATATTCCTAATATAGATGAACCAAATTCTATGTTGTTGGTTAGTTTGTCATTGAATCAGGAGTCGTAAGTGATATCTTTGGACTTCGGTGAGAAATTGGGTTTACAGGTATAGGAGCAAGAAATTTGGAGAACTGATGTTCTGTAGGGAAGGAGTTTTAGCTGGAAAATTGAGTAAATTTTGTTGATTGCACCAATTAGGAGGGTTGTTTGTGCCTGCTCAGGTGATGTTGTTACTTAGAAAGTGAGGTTGCTAGAAACGAAGGACCAATTCCTGTTTATTTGTTTTCCAGATGTTCAATGGATTGGTATGCTGTGGTATTTCGCTGAAAAAGGTTTACCTTTTGAGTAACATGTCCTGATATATGTATTGGAATTTGGAAAGCTGATATGAGTTGGACAGGCAGTCATTGATACATTAGATTAATTGTCTCAAGTATAATGATGTTGATTAAATTGTAGACCATTGGTAGGAGAGAAAACATGGTAATAGGTTTGCATACTTGTCATGTGCCCCACATTTTAATTTTTTTGAGGAAGCTGTTAGACTCTGTTAAGTTGAGTTTATATATTAACAAAAAAAATTTCTTGGCAGGGCCACGAGGGCAGATTTTCTGTCTATGTACATGCATCTAAGGACAAACCAGTTCATTTTAGCCGTTTCTTTGTCAATCGAGAGATTCGCAGTGACAAGGTTACTTATCTTAATGCAAAATTAAATCTCATATTTCTTACCTGAAATTTATATCTCCCTAGTGGTTTGTTTGATAAACTTTGCAATTCATATTGTTGTGACCTCATACTGTTAGATTTTTTTTTTCTTGTTTACCTCCTGCTTTTTTTTTATTATTTTAATTCTGTCGATTTCTTTATTAGAGTACTTGTGTGAAGTGTCTTCCCTTGTACTCTAATTGCCTTTCACATTGACAATGATGCATTGACCACTGTATTAAGCCATGGACTTTTAAGAAACATCAGTATGGACATTAGTCATGGATGCCATATGATATGAACATGCCCACATGGCAAATGTTCAAGAATTAGTACAAGGACATGGTGGGGAAAGGAAGATGTCAATATACATGTATAATTTTTCATGTGAGAATAGGTAAGAACTATGTTACCAAAAAACGCTAATACCCTAGTGAATTACGTATTGGTACGCACGTTCCAAAACATGGTACACTTTCTTTCCAAAACAATAAATTTAGTGATCCGAAGCAATCCTCAAATTTTTTTCCAATATATTTCCATAAATGTTAACTTAGGAGAAAACAAAAACAATTATATGAATTAAAAGCTAAGGTGAGTTAAGTTTTGTTGAGACAAAAAATAAAAAATGAGTTATAATTTTCATAGAAATGATTTGCTACATAAAAGAAGAAATTTTTTTATTTGATACGTAATTGTTAAAAGAAAATTACTCTAAAAGTACCTTAAATTCTTAAGTGTAATATATACAAGTCTACTCTTATCGTATCACATTTTAGAGCATGTGGTGTACCACGTTCCCTGTTCCTGTTCCTATTCCTGTTCTGTGTACCAGAACGATCCATGTTCTAGGTAACATAAGATAAGAATTACTCCTTTTTCGTTCAAAAATTGTTTATATGTTGGCAAAGAAGTGGAAACAAAAGTCCTAGTTTTTATTTTAGAAAACCATGAATATTGCTAAACAAATTGGAAGCTGTTAGAGTTTAGGGTTTCAACATTTGCAAGGCCTAATGGATGGATTTATTGGTAGTGTTATCACCAAGTATGAAATATGTACAGACAAACTAAAATAGACAATCATAAAATCAAAATGTTAAAAAGTAGGGCAGCTTTATTGCATCTCAGTTTAATTAGTTGGAGTGCTCTTGTGGATGACCTCAAGTAGTCCTCAAAATTTTTGTTTTTGAGTACAAGTCATCATCTTCTTCTTCTCTACCCTTGCTTTCCCTTTCTATATGGGATATTTTAAATTTTATATATTCCTTTGGGAGATGGTCTGGTGGTGGAAGTGGCTTACTGACTTTTCCTAAGATTTAACTGAGTGATAATTATATGTTTTTGGAAAATAGGCAGAAACCTTCCCTTTTGTTTGCCTCTGTAGATGTTCATTAGTGTTTATTGGTAACATGATTATTGCAATCCTATTTCTTAAATAATTTTCCAATAAAAGTGGGAAACTTACATGTTGTAACTTGTAACTTATATGTATGTAACTATTAAAATGCAATATGATGATTTGTGGATGATGACTTTTATAGCATCTTGTCACAAGCTTCCATATTAGCTATACATGTTAAGAACATTGAAATATACATATTAAAATAATTAATTGAGAATTCTTGTTTATCACCAATGAGCAAAGTGCCTTTGGTTTTTGTGGGGATGGTGTTGAGACCTGTCACTTTCCTCATTGGTGATACTTGGTGAGATTTCTTGATACTTGAGGAACATATAAAACCATTGATCAACATTTATATAAGTGCATATTCATTGACCCTAGAGGTCCTGACTTGGAGCAATGCAAAGTGCTATCTGCTCCCAGCGTTGTGGTGTGGGTTTGTGTCTAGGACTCTAGGGAATCAAATGCTCCTTAAGAAGGTAGGGTTGCCTACTTAATACCTCTCCTTCACCATTGTAAGTAAGAACCTCTTGCACTGGGTACAGCCTTTTACATATTAATGATGGTTTCTAATTTGAGAGGATAAAGTTATATATAGATGATTTATCTTTTTAATAATAATTAGAGTAGAAAAATCTTCCTTCAATAAATGGCTTGTAATTTTGTGTGTGTTTTGAAAAACTACTACTTGTATGGACAAATTAATAAATGCTCAAAATATTTGGGAAAAGTGTTCTTATGGACTTTATAATCAGTACGTGTTTAAAATAATTACTATTGCTTTGGCTGTTGTCATTACCATTATTATCATTGTATGAGCTAAATAATATGATAGTTTTTTTCGCATGTGCAGGTAGTGTGGGGAAAGATTTCAATGGTTGATGCAGAGAGACGCCTGTTGGCAAATGCACTCAAAGACCCTGATAACCAACACTTTGTGTTATTATCTGATAGGTGGCTGGATGATAGTTACTGTTATTAATATTTGTTATGAATTTGATACAAACAATTTCCTGACTTTGTTCTCTTGCGTTGCAGTTGTGTACCATTGCATCATTTTGATTACGTGTACAACTATCTGATGTACACGAATGTCAGCTTTATTGACTGGTGCGCTCAGTGTTTTCATATTATTCTGCTGTTTTTTTTTATAGTAGTCTCTTTGGATTAAAATCTTTTCAGTGAGAACTTGTACAACTACACACGAAAACACAATTACATATTATGTATTATATATGCTAAATTGGTTTGTATTTGACGTATCCATGTTTATTTGTCATTACTGATGCATGCTTTTTATTCTCTCCAGCTTTGAGGATCCTGGTCCACATGGGACTGGCAGGTATTCGGAGCATATGTTGCCTGAAGTTGAGAAAGCTAACTTTCGGAAGGGTGCACAGGTATATTTTCACACATTTGATGTGGAGGCTCGGCATGACATGATGTGTCAATCTATACAAGTTGTGACGTTATTAATTATAAGGAAAAAGTTACTTGAGCTAACAAGTGGTTACTTTAACAGTTGCCATAGCTCTTTCCTTACCATGCAAGGGACTGTGAAACTCCAGCATATTCATTCATCATAGCCGTTGACCATATGAACACATTTTGGTTGTATGGCCACTGGACATAAATTAATAGTAATTTCAAACTCCATATTATCATGATATTGAACCCTGAATGTCGGGGGTTTTAATAAGGAATTCCTATGTCAATAGGTAAAAAAAGTCTTTTTATTTTTTATTTTTTTTATATATATATTTTTAACATAAATATGTAATTGCAGCATACTTGATTGAATTTCTCCAATTGTCTTATTTGGATAGGTTTTGATATTGAATTTGTGCAGTGGTTTACAATGAAGCGCCAACATGCAGTGGTAGTAATGGCTGACAATCTCTACTACAAAAAATTTCGAGAATACTGCAAGGTGGTTCAATTCATAAATATGGTTTGCTTTATGACATGTTCCGTGGTTATGATATGCAAATGTTGCTTTTAGTCTTTTCAGCATTTTATTTATATATGCTTGGTGTAATTTTTCTTCCTTTCTTGGTCTTCTGCTTTTGAGGTTTTTTACGTTTGTTTAGCTTGTTTTTTTATACGATCTTTCCATTTCTTTGTCATTTTAGTCTTGGAAAACTCATTTTGCCTATTTTTGAATATGTTTGCCATAGGTTGGCCCAACCCAGTACTCTCATACTAGGGTTACTAGGGTTGTATTTCCTCTTCCCATTCTTACTTCTGTAGGTTTCCTGGTAACAGGGAGATCTGCGAGAACTCTTACCCATGTCTTACCATTTCTTCATCTGTATATGGAAGTTTTACCCTTTAGACGCCTTTGACTTTGAGATTTTCCAAAGTTTCTACCAAAAATTTAAAATCTAGCAACTTGCAAGTTAAAAATCAAGCAAATTTGAATTAGTTTAGCCTCAAATGAAATTAGCCCCTGTAGCCTCATTGGGAAAGTACCAGTTGGACAGGGAACACTTACTGATGAAGCCATTTCTTGATCTTTCATAGTAGGCAAAGCTACTAGCACCAAAATTTTAAAACGTAAGAACTTGCAAGTCAAAATTGAGCAAATTCGAGCTAGTTTACTTTTTAGTTGCATGAAGTGGGGACGGGGGCATGTAGAAAACTACAGTTCGAAGCTTCTAGGGAAGCGCTTAAATGTGTTTCAACATATCTTGAACACTCAATACTTTTTCAATGTCCAAATATAATATAGAATTAATGATTTTTAGACACTGTCAATTAATTAATACTCCTGAATGAGCGTTTGACATGTACCACGTGCTATATCACCGCTTATGTATTTAGAAAAAAGAATATTTTTTGAATAAAATAATATGAAAAGAGTTATAATCAATAAATAATATAGGTAAACAGAAGGGTTAGACTAAATTGGTGACTACCAAAGGAAGAAACTATAGGAAAAAGGAAGCCAATAACTGGATTAACAATCCGTGTTGATAGATATGCCATCATTCCATTTGTTATAATTTTATATGCCTTATTACCAGTGCATGTGGTTGGATGCTTGAGTTCGGCTTGCGACAAGGCATAGATTGAGAAAACTCCGCCAGTGTTACACTAATGCTGCCGGTCCCAAGCCCGGATAAAGGAGGAGGGGCTTTCATGTTTTTGGTTGGTGTAAAGGTTTTCTACATCCTTCTCACGAATACTGACTCCCTTTGTGTTCTTGCCACAAAAACCAGTTTGAGACGTGGTTTTAATTTCTTTGAGTATATAGTTCAGTCTGGAAAACTTGAACTTGTACATTTGGATCATGAGTGTATCTTTCTATCAGTATTTCAATCCTTGGGAAGGGGGAGAAAATGGGGAGACACGAGTTGGGGGACAATGGAAAGCATTTATGTGATTGCCATGAGATTGCCGACATTTTTATGTAAAGGCATTATAGAAGTACGCCATCAAGATTGTGTATCAGGAATTTGCAATTAGGGGTGTGCGCGGTGCGGGTCGGTGCGGTTTGAGAGAAAAATAGAAACCGTATGGCGGGTGGCGGATTGATAAAAGTGTCATTAGAATTTGTCATTTTCTTTATCAAAAACCGGCGGTTCGTTTGGCAAATAATAGCGGATTTGCCTTGGCGGTTCGGGCGGATTGGCGGTTTATAAAAAATATAATTTAAATTACAAAACTTAAATCAAAGAGTAAAAAAAAGACAAGAGATACCGTGGTGTTAAGCATCTTGCGAAGCTTTCTTCTGATGCAGCAAGTGTAGCAACAACATGATAATATCAACGACTATACCATCAGTTCATTACAAGCATCTGTGGAAGCTACAATGATCAAATACAATACATAAAATTAATATCATTCAGGGTTTACAGTATATTGAAAATGTTTACAGTTGAAAAATATTTAGATTGAAAAGTGAGCTGATGCAAGTTTGCAGCATGGCCAGAAAAAAAAAAGATTGAAAAGTGAATTGGAATCCAACTTTATTTTGGATTGCTGACATCTTGAATTCCCCTCGAGCAGTAATGTAATACTATATTCTAAGGTATAGAACAACAAGCAAACTTAAGTAAAAAATTTCTACATCCTTCTCACGAATACTGACTCCCTTTGTGTTCTTGCCACAAAAACCAGTTTGAGACGTGGTTTTAATTTCTTTGAGTATATAGTTCAGTCTGGAAAACTTGAACTTGTACATTTGGATCATGAGTGTATCTTTCTATCAGTATTTCAATCCTTGGGAAGGTGGAGAAAATGGGGAGACACGAGTTGGGGGACAATGGAAAGCATTTATGTGATTGCCATGAGATTGCCAACATTTTTATGTAAAGGCATTATAGTAGTACGCCATCAAGATTGTGTATCAGGCATTTGCAATGTTGGGTTTTACTATGTGAGGGATATAGTTGATATTAGGGACTGTATCGATTTGCTTAGATTAGGTTTGGGTCTGGACAAAGTTTGGTTGAACTGGAATGTTGTTTCATTTTGTAAACCTAGTGAGGATCTTCTGTGCTAATCACAAAATTCTTGTATTATATCATAATTAGTATGTAAAGTACATTTTGCATTTATGTAAGCTTAACTCTTGGGAAATATGGAATTTGTAAGCATGGTTTGTAACAAGAATGTACTGATGTTGATGCTTTTGGTTTTTACAGCCGGGTATGGATGGGCGCAATTGCTATTCTGATGAACATTACCTGCCTACCTTTTTCCATGTGAGAGCATCTTTTATTTTTTGCTCTTGGTTAGTCTTTGTTTTCAACTCTTGCCATTTTCAAATCATTTCTAACCGAATAACTTGTTTATTTTCAGATGCTTGATCCATCTGGTATTGCAAACTGGTCAGTGACACATGTTGATTGGTCTGAAGGAAAGTGGCATCCAAAATCATACAGAGCTCAAGATATTACTTATCAGCTCATGAGAAATATTACTGTAAGACTGCTGCTCAGTAATTTGTGTGTTACATGTTTCTGCTACATCTTTTTTTAAACAAAAGAGTTGTTTCATTATAATAATAATGATAATAATAATAATAATAATAATAATAATAATAATAATAAAAAGTCTGAAGGAAAGTGGCATCCAAAATCATACAGAGCTCAAGATATTACTTATCAGCTCATGAGAAATATTACTGTAAGACTGCTGCTCTGTAATTTGTTTGTTACATGTTTCTGCTACATCTTTTTTTAAACAGAAGAGTTGTTTCATTATAATAATAATTATAAAAAAAAGTCTAATTCATTATTTTTAACAAAGCTGTTAGGTGACTTATATGAGCTGCTTATAGTTTTTTTTTCATATTTATTTTGGAAGTCTCGGTGCAATTTCTGCTTGTTACTTATTGGACTTATTAGGCAGAAATAGCTTAAATAAACTAAAAAAAATGATTACATCTTTTTTAACTTACAATAAGCTACATTAAACAGGCCCCAAGTGTATTGATTTTTGGACTTACAGTAGTTGATTGTCTGCGTTGTTTCGTAATGCAGTTAATTGAAGACAGTGTGCATGTCACAAGTGATGAACGGGTATGTACTTGACTGACCTTTCCAAATTAAAATTCGCCTTTAAAATTGGTTTCAAAAAGACTTTAAAAAATTCTGAAAACAATTGTGTCTGTCATATGGTGCAGAAAGAAATCCAGGTTAGACCATGTTTATGGAATGGAATGCGACGGCCATGTTATTTATTTGGAAGGAAGTTCATGCCAGAAACTCTGGATAACTTGATGGAACTTTTCTCGAATTACACTAGTATTTGAACGGGATATCATCTTCATTTCTAATTCTTTGGTCGGTCAAACAGTTGATCTCGACCCTTCATCATCATCATCTTCATTTTCTCCTGTAGTTTACAGTGTTGTAAAGCGTTCCTCACGGTAGAAGAGGATTCATTGCCCTTGACCTGGCTCGTTTTTTGAGTGCAATGGGCAACTAGCGGAGCTGTTAGTGTGACTTTGGTTGATCTGGAAGTTGACAAGCTGTTGCTAGCATCGCTGCCTTGAGGATTGAGTGAATTTAGTTTTTTTTTTTTTTTTTTGTCCCTCTTTCCATTTTGGGCCTATTTATGTCATAATTGTAGCTTTTTTTTTTTTTTTTAATCTTTTTCTTTCTTTTTTTGTTTTTTTGGACAGAAATTTTGGGTACTTTATTGCAGTGCAGTTAATTGTTGACCTTTGTAAAGGTTGAAATGTGAATTTGCAAATATTTTTAGTAGAAACAGCATCCTATATCTTATATATAAGATTTGAAATCCAGAATGTAAATAGTATAGGGGTTATTCTAATTGACACCACACTTTCACCTCATTACACCATATCAAAGTTTGAAACTTTGATTTTATCTCTTTACCGTCCATAATGCCAATCTTACCCTCATTTTTATACCCCACTTTTTAAATCCCAACACTACCCCACCACCTTCGGCTGTTATTGTCACAACCAATCCCAACCATCCCTATTGCAGCCTTCATCTTCAGCCCTCCCTCTACTACAACTCCTCTCCCGGGCCTTCTTTTCTTCATTGGTGACCTCCCTCTGCCTACAGTACTCAGTGAGTGCCACTTCTACAACTCTCTATTGTTTGTGTGTGTGTGTGTGTGTGAGGGAGAGAGAGACTGAATGAGTGTTTCAAATCTAGTAGAAGAAGGGTTTCAAATCTAGGGAAAGTAAAATGAAGGTCTGGGAAGGAAAAGGTTGTGCGGTATGTTAGAGTGGGGGAAGAGGTTGGGCAATGCGATGGCGGTTGGGGCGAAGACGGGACAATTCATTGTGGTTGGGGGGGGGGGGGAAGTGACTAGGCAATTCGTCGTCATGGGGGACCGGGGGGGGGGGGGGGGGGGAATTGGAAAATGGCGGGTGTTGCAAGGGCAACGGAATGGGATGATGGGTTGCAAAGGGTGCCAGTGATGGAGGCAACGACGTCGCTGTAGGGTAGCAGTAAGGGGCGACAAGAAATGGAGGGGGTGGGCACGGTCGACGAGTTAGGAGAGGTGGGCAACACTGACAATGGTGGTAGGTCGTGGAGAGAAGTAGGGTGAGAAAAGAAATTAGGGTTATAATTTTTAGAATTTGAAAGTTTAAAAGGTAATTTTATATATTGATAGAAATGTAATAAAACAAGAAAGTGTAATGAGCTGAAATAGTAGTACAAGTAGAATTAGCCCCAAAGAATTACCAATAGTTTGGTTCGGAACACACTTTACATTGTCATTGGTTCTAGCACCCGAACCTCTACACCAAATCTAGACACATGTTTTTGTCTAAGAAAATTGCCTGACGCACTAAATCCTAAATATTGTAACAATTTGATAGATAAATAAGTACATATGCAAATTGTTCAATGTGAAATTGGTAGGTAACATGGCCTTTGATAGTTTAATTAGTGTTTTAAAAATTGGATTAGATTGGATTGGATGATTAAATCAATTGACATGAATTGGGCTAGGTTTTGATTCATATTAACATTGAAAACTGTTCTAATGGAAAAACCAACCAACGTAGTTTGCTAAAATCAGTGGTAATTATAGTTAGATTGGAGATTCGGTTGAACTAAAAGCAAGTCACTCGAGTAAGACATTTTCGACTTTCTTTATTTTTTTAATTTCTTCAAAAAAAAATCCAAGAATCTCATGTGAGATTCAAATAAAGTATTTGAGTCAAATTTATTGTAAGGAGAGTTGAAATTTTAATATCCCTCCAAAATTAAATCTCTTTTTATCAAATTATTTGAATTAAAAATTGTTTAGAGGAAGTATTGAATATTTGGTTTCTCTCCAAAATTAAAACAAGCGGAATTTTCAAATATTTATGATGTTTTTTATTTTAAGGAGTGACCTATAACCCGGTCCTTTATCCAGTTTACTAAACAATCTGGATTCCTCATTCGATTTTCCTATCCATGTTTTTGGGACATAGCAAGGAGTATATATCGTTACAAGCTCTTCACATGTTTCATATGAGATGGTACTCCATTGCTGAGAAATAATTTTTGCTGCTCTTTCTAGTGAAAAAAGAATGTGTTGTTAACTACAAGATCTATAGTTTGCAAAACAAAAAGCACGTGTCATGTATTCGAAATATTTTATGTATCAAAAAAGAAAAGAATGTGTTGATGGTTCAATTTGATTTATCAATTCTGGTGTTTAAATTTTTTTTGATAAAATCTGAACTATTGGGGAAAATTACAAATAAATGGAAACTAGAAAAAATTACAAAAAAATGAGAAATCAACATATCCTCTCCGCCACCCCTCAAACCTCCCTCAACAAGGATTAGTCCTATGTACAGCCCCCAATTTTTGTTAAAATTTAGGCCCCCAAAACAATTTGGCACTTATACTAGGTCTAAATTTTTTTTATTTACTATTTAAGACTAAAATAAAACTGTTATGCTATGAACACTAACAAATATACCAACAAAAATAGCAAGAGAAACTTATACGCAGGTTCTATCACTTGACATGGGGCTCACTGACAATAGATTTAGTTGACATGTTTATTAATGTCCCTAACATTATTACAAAAAAAATTATAAAAAAAAAATGTTTGATAGTACTGCCAACCACCGATGGAGCGGGTCAGGACTGTCCACACTTCTCAAGTCGTTGCCCGGTTGTAGGACCCACCGTGGAACCTGCAAAATAGTCCAATGGGGAATGGGTAGTCCCCCGGCGAACCCTCCGACGATCAAGTTAGAGAAGGGAGAGAATGGTTGAATGTAGGGATAGATTGGTGATAGAGAAGCTTAACCTTTTTTTTGTCTTAGGAGCCTGCTTATATCCGCTGCTCATCATTTCCTTGTCCACTCCGAGCCATCATGTTGGCCGAAAGTCTAGGTCCTAGCTTGCCTTGTTCATGGTGAGGCTGTTTTGTTCTAACGTGAAGGGTTATCGCAATACATGCCACGGGGAAAAAATGGCTGATGTGTGGTGCAATAACTTTACAGGATCTTTGTCTGCTGATGAGGCTGGTTCTTCGCTTGTCACGTGTTTAAATGTCATTGGTCCTTAATGTCACGTTGAGCTTCAGCAGTGTTGGGTTTTAGTGTTTGAATTATGTATTGGGTTCTGAGTAATGGGCCAAAAGCTCCTATAGGCCCACCTATGTCAGTAGTCCCCAATTCCCAAGTGCAGCTTTAGTTCAACGAAAGGAATAAGGAAGAAAACAGGGTTTGTGAGAGGTCGTCGGAGAGAAGATCGTCGAGGAAACGGGCTAACCGCGAAGGTGGACCGAGGGAGAAGATTGACTGCGAGGAGGACCGACCGCGAGGGGTGATCGAGTGAGAAGGTCGACTGAAAGGAGGGTCGACTGCGAGGGGTGGCCGAGTGAGAAGGTTGACTGAGAGGAGGGCCGACTGCGAGGGGTGGCCGAGTGAGAAGGTTGACTGAGAGGAGGGCCGACCGCGAGAGGTGACCGAGTGGGAAGGTCCACTGAGAGGGGCGACCGCGAAGGGTGACCGAGTAGGAAGGTCGACCGAGAGGAGGGCCGACAGCGAAGGGTGACCGAGTGGGAAGGGAAAAAGGCAGCGCATGGGGCTTGAGGTACGGTGTAGCACGTAGGGAAAAGACAGGGAAGAGGAAAGGAGTAGAGATCGTGGTCGCACACGTGGCGCAATCCCTTAGTGGGGAAGGTGACTAGTCGGTGCGAAGTGAAGGGACGGGGTGATATAGGGTAGTGGAAAGGGAGGGACAGGAGTTTTTCGAAATATTTCAAACTGGCAGAGTTGAATCTTGACCCTTGGAAAACGGGTATGCTGTGGGCCTTTAGGGTTATCTGTTTGTAGACGCGCCCTCGGGCCTCATGCTACAGTTCGGACTCGATTCGTGTCGGTTCTTAATCTGAACCAAAGAGTCCAAATCCGGCAAATCGTTTTGAGAAAAATAGATTTTTAGAAAAGAAGTGCCAAACATGGACTGCTTTGCCAGATACAGAGTCGCCACCTAAATATTTTATTTTAGGGGAATTTAGGAAACCCTGACTCGTGCCTAAGGCCACGTGTCCGTCATCACCAAAGTTGCCTCGGCTCGGGAACTTGGGTACGATTGGGGAAGGTCAGCTATGAGCACCCTCGCTCGCCCGATCAAAAATTGGCCTCTACTAACCATGATATCTAGTTTTTGAAAACACATGCGTTTTTATTCCGGTTAATTAGCCTAGAATTACTATGTGATGTGCGCAGCAAAACAAGTATAGACTAGATCGCCTAATTTGGAACAAAGCATTGCATATCTGTTTGTTTGGAAAATGGTTTGAAGTTTGCTACTCGCAAGTAGGCTAAAATAGAGATTTCAATGAATTCTCCCAATTCAAGCAATCAAACCTTCACCCACAGGCATTCAGGCAGTTATATCACATAAACAATTAGCCTCATGGCAAACATGCTGTCATGGCAACACTCATACGCATGCAAGGATGCAAAAGCATAAGCACTTACCGAGTACACCAAGCCAAAACAGAAACCAGTTAGTAATCAAATGCATGATCCTAGTTCATGTTAATGCAACACATGCAAAGATGCAACTAGAATAGGCTCGGCTACCCTAAGAATGGCATATGAGATGCGATAGTTCAATACATGTATTCAACTTGGAATTGAAATACAATGCAGTTAGTATGATGCGCCGAGCCCGGTGCATGTAATACAGATGAATGATGCAAACATGCGAGCATAAGGATGCTGATTGAAATATGCCCTAATACTAACCATCAAAAGCAGGTAAGTAAAAGGGAGAAAGAAGTGGGGATTGGAAGACATGCATTACACACACGCACGCTTATTACAGTTGTGCCCTCACTCGGAGGGTCCGAATAAATAATACATACCGAATAAATAATTAACTACTCTAGCTAATTAAATATTACTGTGCGGGGGTGATTTCCGCACTGTGAAGAAGGGTTGAACTTCGTGGATGAACAGCAGGCTTTGGGAATTGAAGATCTGCACAGAATAACAAACGGTGAGGCTGCCCGACCGGGGTTTGGTCGGAAACCCCTCCGATGGTAAAGTTAGGGACTCAGGGAGAGGAAAAAGAGAGGAGAGAATACAAAGAGTGTATGTGTTAAGTGTGTGGATTCCCGATCCCTTGAGAGTGAATAGTGTTCACCTTTTATAGGAGAAGGTTGTTTGTCGTTCAAGTCCTTCTCTCTCCGCCATCTGTCCAAAGTGTCTTATTCGTGGTCGTCTCCTATTGGAGGAGGACGACCACTCCGCCTGACACTCGGGTGCAGGTCTGTTTTGTTTGTCTCATTAGCGGACATCTCTCATTGGAGGAGGACGACCACTCCGCCTGCCATTCAGATGCAGGTCTGTCATATATGCACCTTGTCCCTCTGCGCCTCCATGTCTCCACGTTCTGTTCATGCAGAGGGGGAGAAGCAGGGTTGTTTGTCTCTAGTGGACCCAAGAAAGATCTTCAGTGAATTGGCCTTCTCTAAGTTGGTCTTCTCTAGAACGGTTGTCCAACCAGGAGGTCCAACATGTTGCTCAACCCACTTCGGAGTGGTTCTGTCCATCCGGAAGGTCCACCATGTTGCCTGGCCCACTTTTGAGTGGTGCTCGTACGTTGGGCCGAACTCCTATGATTGCCTTGCTTCGGAGCAAGTGTTGGCCTTAGGGCTGAGGTCCGACTTAGCTCCACCTTGGAGTGAGTATCGCATTGGGCGTAGCACCAAGACTTGATTAATTTTCACCCACTTCAATTACAAACCCTTAACCAATTAATCAACTTAATTAAGCTAATAAAGCAGTAAAACAGCCCCGGGAAGAGGGATGAATGCATGCTCGGATTGGCTTCACTCGGAAACCCAATGCCATGCCACTGTTCCTTTGTTTACACTGTTTTGCACCTCTAAAAATTGCATAAGTCTCCGGGATGCTTCTGAACCACCTTCTGAGCACTGTGGAAGGTCACCAGCCAAGAGTATAGGCCACCGGCCATCCATTGACCATGGATATTGATATCGGCCACAAATGTTTGGTCGATCGGCACTGTAGATGGCCGACCGGCCATGTCTTCCTGTAGAAACCTGTTTTGACAGCAGCAGAGGATAGACAAAGCATGTCAATGCATTTCAAAGCAAATGTTTGCACAACCACACTCCATATCATGTTTAAGACTCAAGGGAGTATGGTGCTCGACCCTCGGACCACCAATCGCGCATTTCCATGCATGATGGCCCAAGAGGCCAAGTTGTGCATTTTGATTTCAAATGACATGCAAACCAAATAAACACATAAAGCCCAACTTCTATCATACTTAATTCAAGAGGCAAAGCATGCATGCTCTATGCAATGCAACCTAGGCATGGAGGCTAAGTATGCAACATGAACATGAGGGCAAGTATGCAAGTTAGCAAACATGCAAAGTGTAATCTTAACAATGCAAGCATGCAAGATGCAACATGGACAACATGTTAAGTACAATTCATGCCAAATGCATTACAACCTAAGCATGCAAAGGTGCAATGTATCAAACATGCAAAATGCAATGTAACAAGCATGGAACGAGGCCAAATATGCAACAACACATAGGGCAAGCATGCAACAACATGCTAGAATGGTCTTAAACTAATTTGGGTAGCTCTCAACTAGGCCCAAAACAGTGGCCAAATGCTAAGGAAATGGGGGCCAAGTACACATACAATCATGCATGCAAATGGACCAACACTTAAGCATAAAGAAGGGACTCTTAAGCACACTTAAAAAAGATGAACATGGACACATGGCGTGCATACTAAGCTCTGAAATTATGTTAGAAAATGTGCCAAACCAACTAAACAAATCAAGCAAAACATGCTCATGGCTTTACACACTCGAGGCCTACAAGCTAGAATGCAAAGAGACTATACAAAACATGTTGAGCATGACCAAAGCAACTGAAAACAGAGCTAAAGCATACTAAAACATGCATAAAAGCTTCACAAATCTTGGCCAAAATCATGCTAGAACAAGGGTCAAAGCCTAAAGCATGCTAAGGCAAATTCATGGCATTACAAGACAAGTATGCAAGGCATGCATGGTGTGTCTAAACCAAGTAAAAACAGTGCTATATCATGGCAAAATAAGCACAAATAACACTTAAGACACGACCAACATGAACTTAAAAATGGTGCTCACACATGAGGCTAAAATGGCACTTTTTGAAGACAACAAGGAGAAGGGATGGCCCTCTCCTTCTTAGGATCTTAAGACACTATCCCCACCACTGAAATCCCTCAAGATTTCAGTGGTGAGGAGGCCCAAACAAGGTGGTCCCGGAGCTCACCAAAATAGCACAAAATGGGGGCCAAACAAGGCCTAAGAGGGGTCAAACAACCCCAAACAACAAAGTGACCTTAAACAACTATTTAAAGCACTAAAAAAAAAAGACTCTTTTCAGTTTATGACAAAGCCCAAAACAGCACGCAAGACAGGCTAAAAGTGTGTGCAAAAATGGGGAATAAAGAAGGTAAGGAGTGTCACCCTTGTAGCCAAGAAGCTCCAGCAGCTTATGGACCAAAAATGTAGGCTTTCAACCTCTGAAAACCAGCTCCAAGAACCTTAGAGTGATGGAGGAAGCGTGTGGTTGTGAGGTGGTGTGTAAAGGGGTCAAGAACCAACACTTATGGAGCTTGAATGTAGAGATATAGAGAAATACAACTCTTGTATGCCTTAGACAAATTGTTGGAACCCTTGCAATGGAAGAGGAGCTCTTCTTTTATAGAGGAAGAAGTGTCCAAGCTTCTTTTAGAAGCTTGGAGCAAAGGGGCCAAGCTTCTCTTAGAAGCTTGGAGCAAAAAGGGCCAAGAAGGCCAAGCTTCTTGGAGAAGCTAGACAAAAGGGCCAAGCTTCTTGGAGAAGCTAGAACAAAGATTTAAAAGGTTCAAGCTTCCACAAACCCAAACAGCACCCTCCAATCTAAATTTTGAACTGGAGAGCATCATCCTCCTCCCTAATTATTAACCAAAAAAAAAAGAAACAAAGAAAAAGTAAAAAATACCCTATATATAACCTAGAAGACAATCTTGAGAGGTCCCATATATACTTGTGTTACTATACCTGTAGACATGGCTACTGTATTTGCAACAATTCATGCTCTTTTCATGCTTGTTTCTATCACCTCCTTGTATATTAAATGGATGTACACCATAATATTTTTTGTACAAAAAAAATATACAATATTACTAAGCAATCTTAAATGTGCACTAAAGGTACACATTAACAAGACCCACATACCCAACTCAAGTTTGACTCATCTCAATCCCTCTTATTTGTCCAAATCATGCGATTAAAGAGAGTTATTTGATTCTCGAGTTTACGCTCCTGGAGTGGGTTCAAAAGACTCTGCCTAAGAGGACATGTTCCTAATTGGAGGAGGAGGATTCCCTCCAATTTTGGACTGGAGAATACTGTTTGGGTCCTAAATTGAACAAATTACAATTATCGAATCGGTCTAATTGGAGGAGGAGGATTAAAGAGAGTTATTTCATTCTTTTTTCTATCACCTCCTTCATTTCATTAGCCACCACAACCACCACCAGCTCCACCACCCCTATTGGCATCACAAAGCCACAAAGGCTAGTCATCAAACTCATTCATATCAATTCCATTCTCTCCCCACATTACAACCCAAATGCCACAACTGACCATGCAGAACAAACCATCAAAAGCTCCACAGCCCATTTCACCTACTTACAAAAAAAGCTCCAAACAAATTCAGCCAATGATGATGATCATGATGCCGGTGTTAACGTTGTTCCCAACAACATTAGCTTACAGTTTCTTGCAAATCTTTACTTGGGCGATCCACCTTCTCCACAGCTCGTCAGTATCGACATTGTCGACAACCTCCTCTGGATTCAATGCCTCCCAAGTCATCCCAATTCACCAACTTATCATGCAACAGTCAACTTTGTTTTACCACCGGTGGCCAATGTTCTTCTGACGATGCGTGCCCATACACTGTGTCATTCAACAATGGAGTAAACTCAACCAGGACTCTGGCTCAGGATTACTTAATCCTCAATGACAATACCTCCACCACGATCCCATTGGTATTTGGTTGTGGACATGAAAATGTTGGTTCAACCGATGGACAACAAAGTGGGATTCTTGGTCTTGCCCCGGGAAATGTATCAATAGTTTCTCAAATGGGGTCGACATTCTCTCATTGTTTTGGCAACATAAGCAATCCCAATTACACCCACAACCGATTAGTTCTAGGTGGTCAGGCAGAGTTTCTAGGCTCTTCAACCCCTCTTGACACATTCAATGACCTTTACGATGTAACACTAAAGGGTATTAGTGTGGGAGACACTAGACTTATTATTGATCCGTTTTCATTTAAAAGGTCACCATCGGGGTTTGGAGGGGTGATTTTAGATTCTGGTACAATGCTAACTTGGCTAGCAACCGCTGCGTATTATCCACTTACCGATGAAGTGAAGAAACAGCACTTGGGTAAGGTGATTTTAGGCTCTTCGTCGCAATTGTGCTACAATGGGACTATGAGAGAGGACCTTCATAAATTTCCAACTGAAATTTCACTTTTGTAGACAGATGGGGCATGTTTCACCAAACTAAGCCTGATAAGTTTTGCTTGGCTGTGGCTGAGACCAAAGTGGAACGCCTCTCTGTCATTGGATTAATGGCTCAACAATATCATAATATTGGGTATGACATTTTTGGCCAAAAGGTCTATTTCCAAAGGATTAACTGCAAAAATCTTTATTAGGCCTAAAATTAATTCCCAGTTGTTTTCATGCTTTGTGGAAATAATTTAAGGCATTGTATTTCTTTGAGCTAGCATGGCTTTATAGAAGAGTGAGTATTTGAATATTGGGTAAATGCCAATCTCTAAAAATTCCTTATTTAATTGGCTTTTGGATTAATTATAACAACCAATCAAGTGTTAAGAGATATCGAATTGCCTAATCACCCATTTCACATTTTAAGATTTGAGAACTTTGTTTAATCCATATAGTTGTTTTTAAACTAACCTTACAGTTGTGCCACTGTGATTATACACTAAACAATACAAGAAATTTTAGAATTATAGGCGTTTAAAAAAGCCCGCAATAGACCCAAAAAAACACCACAAATTGTTAAAGTGACATTTACAATATTCGTTGTAGACACGTCCGTTGTCTTATCTTTGTAACATTTTAAAATGTCACTAAAGACTTTAGACGACGTTTTTCTATACGTTACTAATTCTTAACCTCAATTAAAAGAAACAGTCAAAGGAATTAACTGTGACGTAAGCATGACAATACTTTATGGCCTTTTTTATTTTATTTTTTCAAATAAAACGCCACTTTTTCTTATTTTTTTTGTTTTATTTATTTATCATAATCAAATTATATGATATCTTAGACTTTTGATCAAATCAACCCCATTATCCATCTCTATTTTTATTTTCCCATAACAAAAATTTATAACAAAAAATCTTATCATTTTCTCATAACAGCATGTCTAAATCCAATCGAATACAATAATTCATTAGAGAAATTTAATACACAGAACAGAATAAATAAAATAAAATTGCCTTGAAGCACAATCCGTTGGAGGAAAAAAAAAAATTTAAATTAAAATTGCCTAATATTTTCTCATTTTAAATCCTTGACCGTTGGAAACTCTTGCCAAAACCTGATTATCATCCTTACCCCTCACCATCCTGTTGCACTAGTATGACAACCACTGCAAGTAAAACTAAATAGAATTCAAAAATAAATAAATAAATTACAGAACAGGCGGCATACGTAAAAAGGCCTCAAGGATATTTAATTGAAGTACCTCAAGCATCTTGTCATGCATGCCCCTGCAATAGTACAAAGAAGTCATCTTTCTTTGATTGCTTCAACAAAAACAGAATTATAAAAACCTCGCACGATTTTAAAAAAATTTAAAACAAAACTATTGGGTCAGAATTTGGAAAGAGTTTCAGTGTAGCTTGACCAAGATAAATGTAATAATCTGATTGAAAATTACTTGAAAATAGAGAACTTATGGCAAGATGCAACTTGAGAATATCCCCTCTTCTTCAAGGACACCAAACCACAGCAAACATAGAATTCCAAACCTGCAACTAAAATAAAGTAAAGCAGTATTAAATATTAACATATTTTAAATATATATATATATATATATATTTTGGAAAGTATCTGTAAATTTATTACTGCAGAAAATAAAAATATCAAATTAATTAGTAGTAATTTCCCACTAGTAACTAGCAGAGGTTTAAGAGCCAAGAATACCACTAACTCAACAACTTTTGACCTGACAGATGGTCTCTCATGTTGAGGTGTCTTAATTATAGTTCCTCATTTTCCAATTACTCCTACCATGAACCACCAATTTTTGAAAGATAATCTAACACAATAAGCTGCTAGGAAACTAGAGCTTCTTTCAAGAGGTTAGTTCCTTCATCAAGGTAAAAGATGTACGTGATCACAAATCACTACAAATATTAACCAAGAAGTTGAGATAAACTCAAGTAGACAGTGCCAGCACCATCCTCTGATGGGGATCCTTTATTTTCTAGCACTTGTTATTCAAGCCATCAAAGTAGGGGGTGCTGCTTGATCTCAATAGCCCCTTTCTTTGATTTCAATCGATACACAGGCTCCTTAACTAACAAAATATCACTCATAAAAATAAGAATTGATACTAACATAATGTGTATAAATTTATAGACAAGAATAAGCAACTACTCTCTGTCTGCTAATTACTGGTTAGTGTGTTTAAGCCATGGGATATACCTGTTTTATTAGTATGCTAGTGAATGCTCAGGCCATTCAATTTCCCTCTTGGAAATTTGCTTCTCCTGTAGAACAAATAATGATGTTATTAACAAGTTCATGGATGACAACAAAGCAAATGACCATAAGAACCTTGCAAGCAAAATTGGATAAAGCTACTGAAGCTTTCTCTTTAAGTACAATAATATAGACATTCTATTGTAAAAATCTTCCACATAATACATATAAATTAGAGAGGATAAATGGAAAAAAACAATTTTATTATGAACAATGACAGAACAAGAACAAACCTTTGATCCTTTGGGGACCATTGCAAACTTTTTTAAACCATTCGAGTGCCTACCAGCTTGCAAAACCTGGTTATCATCTTGAAACCACTAAATCGTCCATCAAAATCCTTACAGAACAGTTTGATCTGCATGAGACAAATGCCAAATTTCAGATTTTCTCTATACTCACACACACACACACCAAAAAAAGAAAAAAAGAAAAGAAAAGAAAAAGAAGAACAAATGGCTCAAATTCGAACCAAATAGAACTAAGTTCACTTCTTCAGCCCAAAACAAAATACACTCGCAGGAAATAGGATAAACTATCAATAGGTCCTAATAGTTTGACTTAGGCCTCGTTTGGGAACAGGTTAATTTAGTAACTTTTTGGCTATTTGGCTAAAAAGGTAGGTAAAAAAAACTTGTATGTTTGGGATGACTTTTTGGCTAATTACGAAAAGATGTGCAAAAAGTAGAGAGAGAAGAGAATCTTTGACTTTTTGGTATGAGTTGTTGGCTTTTTGGCTAATTTAGTAACTTTTTGGCTAATTGGCTAAAAAGGTAAGTCCCTAAACGGGGCCTTAATTGTCATTAAGTCCGATAGAAAATAAGTCTTAGTGCAATCGTCACTAAAAATAATTTTTTATGACGATTTTTTACATGTTGCTAAAATTGACAATTAGCGACTTTTTTTTTGTCACGGTTTTTATAAATTGTAGCTAAAATTCACAATTAGTGACATTTTTCTGTGACGAATTTTTCAAACTGTCGTTGAAAGTTGAAAATTAACGACTTTTTTTGTGACGATTTTTTTAAACTATCGCTAAAATTTATAATTAGTGACATTTTTTGTGACAATTTTCAAACTGTTGCTGAAAATTAACAATTAGTGACGTTTTTTAATAGTGTATGATGAAAAATGTCACTAATTATCATAGGACCCATTGGACAATAAGTCCATTAGGCCCTACTCATAAGTCCCCCTAGGAAATATCCATATCCAACCAAATAGAACCTAAAACTGAAGACTGAGATAATTGAAGTATACCCATGGTTATCAGAATCCCGATCCGGATCTTACGATCCTACGATCTTACGATCTATTTGAGTACAATCGATCCGGATCGTGTAAAAAAATCCTTATAGGTAGGATCTTTCGATCCTAGTAGTGGAATCTTATAGGATCGTGGAATCCCGATCCGAATCCGATCCTACACGATCCAATTTACAAGCCTTGTTTTGTATTGTATGACATATTTTATAGTAAATTTTATGTTTGTTGTCTAAATACCAATTTATGTGGTCAAAATAAATAATAAAAATTAAATAGTATTGAATCAAATAGACTAAGAAAAACGAACTAAGAAACAAACATTCAAATATTGCGGTAATTTAAGAAAATTAAATAGTTGGAAAAACAAACTTAGCTTTAGCGGAGTCTAAGGAGGGTAAGATGATTGCAACTTTATCCCAATTTTTGGAGAGATTATTTTTGTGACTCGAATCCGCTCCACCAAGGATGCTAACGACAAACCTTATCATTCGATTAAGCTACTCTTTTGAGTTCTTAATCTATTTTCATATCCAACTTTGTTAAATATTTTTTCTTTACTTTTTATGCATTATTGTAGATTGTAAAGTATTTTGTTATAGAATTATTCTTCTGCACCTTCTTTTTTGATGAAATACAAAACTTTTACCATCGAGTTTTCTATTGTATAATATTATATGTACATTTTACATAGAGTATTGTATTTTTCACAATATCTTCACTTCTTTTTAATAGAATATAAGCTTATTTTGTGTATACTTTGTAAGAAATATTTATTTAAATTAAATTATTATGTAATTTGTCTTTTTCGGTAGGATCTTACGATCCTCGATCCGATTCTACGATCCGATCCTATAAACACCTCCAACGATCCAACGTAGGATCCCGATTTTAACAACCTTGAGTATACCTCATCAAGTCCGTTGGATTTTTTATAGGACAGAGCATAATGATCCGAGAGGCAAGCCTTCTTAAGAATACAGAATTTGGACCATAATGGAATTATAAAGTGATTGGGAACAGAACAATGGAATAAATGATAAATAAAGTGCTTCAAAAAATAATTCACAATAACATTTCTTAACTATAGTGTGACCATTTAGCAACATCGAAAAGAGAGAAAATTATATGGAGGATAGCTCTAATGCACACAACTATTCCTTTTAAGAATACAGAATTTCAAAGCATATTAAAATGGCAAAACTCAAAGAAAAAACTTGTTAACTAAAAACCATAAATTATTTAAATCACATTGTTGCCTTTTTGTGTCTTTTTGAGAGCATTAGATTTTGTATTTTTTGTCAAGAGTGATAGGTGCCAAAGAGGAAGTAATTAGGTAGGTGCTTTATTGGACAGTGTCAATAAGTCCACGCTCAAATTTGTCATATGAAACTCTTGAAAGGGCCACAAACTACTTTCACCATTATTCCAATAAGTTGATCTGGTTTAGTTTACACTCAATCATATAACGAAAAGAATCAACCAGAAGATATGTGCAAAAATTGGCACAAAACATGCAAACAAACACACGGAAAAAAATGGAGATAAGCTAATACAAAATGACACAACAATGATCTAACATATTAACAATCTAGATTTGTGATACGGGAAAGTATAACATACCATTAATAATGAGAAGCGATAAGAACATTTTAGGTAATTGAGGAAATTGTGCAGGAGGTAAACGAAAAAGAAATGAAATTACTTGAGATAATTATCGGATAACCTCAAGAATCCAAGGCTTAGAGCTAACTTGGATCATTTTACCATTTTGTTGGAAGGTGTTTTGGTATGTCTATTTATTGGGATCTGAGATCCCGCCCAAGACCTTATAGAAATTATTCCATGCAGAAAAACACACCCATACTCAAGGAGACACAATATTTAACGTGGTTCGGCCTCAATGCCTACGTCCACGGGAGAGAAGCCGGTTATCACTATAACAATGGAGATGTTACAGAAAGATTACAATAGAGGAGGAGCTCACACTCTCCTCACTCACCCACTCACCCGTCTCCCTTGCTCACACCGAGGAAGACGGTCTCTCCGCCTCAGATATCTCACTCTCTGTGGCTTGCTCTACTCTCTCTGCCTGTTCTCCTCTCACCCATCTTCATTTATACACTTCAGAATGGTGGATGGAGGGGCTGGCCAGCACATGGCCAGCTTGTGCCAACTCCTTCTTCACATGGCTAAAGGTTCTTCTTGCGTTGGCTTCCTAACATGGCCAGCTCATGTGTGTCGGCTTTGCACATTGCCAACTCTTGCAGCACATGGAGAATCACCCCTCACATGGGATGATGATATCCCACAAATCACCCCCTCAGCCCATGTGAGGTGATCCACAACAAAACCTGCTGCCAAGGTATCAAGCACCCCCTGATTGGATGCCCTGTACCCCCTGCTTGGGATACCCTTGCATTACCGTGCAACTCCTTTCATGATGAACACTGGAGCAACTAGAAAACTTCAGAGTTTGACACATCAACATCCTCAATTTTCCTTGCTCGGAGCTTATTTCTGAACAACCAGCCTTTGCTTTCTGCACTTCAGAACAACTTCCCAGCGATCTCATACGCCCGTTGTCTGATTTTGTTTTTTTTAATCGTTTGTAATATGTTTCGGAAATATAGGAGGCTATGATAAGGAAGAGAAAGCAGCCAGAGCTTATGATCTAGCAGCATTGAAGTACTGGGGCACCACTACCACTACAAATTTCCCTGTAAGTTTCTGTTTCCATTTCAATTTTTGAAAATAATAAATGAATACCTTAGACATATTTTAAACTCTGTGACCCGGAAGTTTTGTCCCACCCATTTTTTTAAGACTAAATAATTCTTTTTATGGGACGGGAAAGGCTTTATAGTGATCAGTTATCACACACTAAAAGGTTTCGATCCTTTTTTTTTTTTTTTCTAAGATTACAAATGTTGGGAATTCATATCCAAAATGTTGGATGTCCTAATTTTACCATCAAACATTAAATGTGTTCATTTCATACTGTATTGCACATATTTTTGTTTTGGTATTTTTGCAGTTATTTTATATTTGTTTTGAAATGTCAGACAAGCAACTACGAGAAAGAAATTGAAGAAATGAAGCACATGACCAGGCAGGAGTATGTTGCATCTCTTCGAAGGTACGTATATATAGTACAGGAATGCACTCTTGATTTCATTGTGATATTGATTTATATATGAAGAAGAACTAATGTATGAAATTAGTATTTAATACTCTTTATGTTTAATGCAGAAAGAGCAGTGGTTTTTCTCGTGGAGCATCAATCTATCGAGGAGTTACAAGGTAAACTTAACCGGATTGATTGTGACATATCTGCATTCTTACATATCTTTCATTCAGCTTTTCCTCATCTGTATTAGGCCAATGTTGATGAGTTTTAGTTCTGTCTTTTTTTCCTTTTTTTCAATGCACTGTCATCTTAAAAGGCACTTTGAAGTAAGAATTCTTCTGCATATGTACTGGTTTAGTACCTTGTTGTGAAGAAATTATTGCGCAAAAGAACAATGGTTCATTGGCAGCCTAATTGGCTTCAAGATGATGCATAATTGTAAAAAAATTAGAAAAACTTGTAAAGTCAGCCATGGTTATTTTTTTGATAAGCAAAAGAGAACTTTATTGATGAAGAAAGTAGAACAAACATTAAACTTACATCAATAAAGAGAGAAGTGCAAAAGCATCACCGCTGGTCTTAACAATCCCAACTAGGTTGGCACCGCTAAGGAAGCAAAATCATCTGCTAGCACTTAGACCCAAGATTGGCGAGAAACCAATCAAAAGAAAGCAAGAGAAAGGGAAAAAAAAAAGAAAAAAAAGAAAACCAGACCAGCCACCTATACATTGTGTTGGGCCAAATTGCAATTTTCAGAAGTTTAGGGAATATTTCGTGTACCAACAGAATATTCCATCCACTGTCCCTGATGCCGTTCGTCTCTTTAATCTGCCTTCTTTTTACAGAAACTCCGTCTCCAAAATCTGACCGTACGGATGTGTCCGGAATACTCCAAATAGTCGGAAACCACTATTGGATCACCAAAAACGGACTCCAAATGGCTTCGATCTAACCAAAACATTTTGTACGCCTCATCGCCGCAAAGCACTGGATCCTTCCCTGCCTCTGGTTGACGGGGCAAACACGTGGCATACCTTTGCTGACGTGTCGCCACGTGTTGACGACGTGGCACGCTGACGCGGCCTGCGCGTGTTCCAGGAACGTGGGTGGACACGCGCTGCCTGCCCACTCGTCTTCTTCCTTCGTCCGCGCTTGGGGCGCGTGGGTGAGATTGGGACCACGCGCCGGGTGCCTGCACGGCGCGTGTTTGCGCGTGACGCGACTGGGACTCACGCGCCAACTTCCAGAGGCGCGTGAGGGCGCGTCCGGCCTCCGTTGGGTGTCTGCTTTATATTTCTGGACTCCTCTCGTCGAGCCCTTACTCCTAGTATGCTCAAAATCTGATTTCCAGCAATACGATTTCTGGGCAGTTTCGGAACAACACTCTGTTTTTCCGAAAAACATACAACATCGGCTCTGATACCACTTGTTGGGATCTGAGATCCCGCCCAAGACCTTATAGAAATTATTCCATGCAGAAAAACACACCCACACTCAAGGAGACACAATATTTAACGTGGTTCGGCCTCAATGCCTATGTCCACGGAAGAGAAGCCGGTTATCACTATAACAATGGAGATGTTACAGAAAGATTACAATAGAGGAGGAGCTCACACTCTCCTCACTCACCCACTCACCCGTCTCCCTTGCTCACACCGAGGAAGACGGTCTCTCCGCCTCAGATATCTCACTCTCTGTGGCTTGCTCTACTCTCTCTGCCTGTTCTCCTCTCACCCATCTTCATTTATACACTTCAGAATGGTGGATGGAGGGGCTGGCCAGCTTGTGCCAACTCCTTCTTCACATGGCTAAAGGTTCTTCTTGCGTTGGCTTCCTAACATGGCCAGCTCATGTGTGTAGGCTTTGCACATTGCCAACTCTTGCAGCACATGGAGAATCACCCCTCACATGGGGTGATGATATCCCACACTATTATGGACTGTCACATTAACATAGCACAGGTAAAATCATAAGAAATACTTTAAGATGAAACATTTTATAATGGTGCTAGCCACTAGACTAATCCAGGTGGTATAAAAAGTGATGACAGAAAAAGGCAGCTTCTAGAGCCTCCTGCACTGTATGCATGAAACTACTCTATCAAGATAAGCCATCAAAACAGTGCAAGCTAAACTCAGAGAGGAGACAGTGCAAGCTAAACTCAAAGAGAGAGAAAAGAAAAATGATAAGTGGCCGTCTTCAATAGTGTTTTAAAAATTATCATTTCTTTCATATCATTCCAATCAAAGTTCAAAAAGAAGAAGGGAAGTGTTAAATTCAGCCTTGATTCAAATAGTATAAATAAATCCCAAGTTAAGAACATTGCAGGCACTACATATTACAGCAAAATATCACCGAGTATAGAAGACACATTTATTTCTTGTCCCAGTTTCTTAAGATGCTTCAAAAAATACGAAGAAAATTGGCAAATAAAAAGTCAAAACAGAGAAGTTATAGTCAACAATGCTTTCAAATCTAGAACCAACAATTTGATTCAAAAAATACGCATTTGTCTAACCCACAGTCACTGCAGTCATTCAAGCATAATCTCAAAACACACACACACACATAGACAGAGAGAGAGAGAGAGGCCAAACTTGCTAAAGAGTGGTGTCCTTCATAATTAAACAGTTTTCCATTTATTTCTCTATATAAGTATTTGTCCACACACACACACACACACACATACATATATATATACAAAAGAAAATCAACAACAAATTGTGGAAGAGATAATAATTTGAAACCCAAGAACAACAAAAGCAATAGCGAAACTTTCTTGAGTGCAAATTCACAACCAAACTTTCTAATTTAACCATTCAAAATTTCGGTCAGAAATCAAAGGATATAGCTGATCCAAATTCACAACACAACAAAAAAAAAATTCAAAAACATTAACATTAACATTAACCTACACTACAAATCAAAAACATTAATACTAAAAAAAACACCCCAACCCTAGATAAGCACAGAACAAAGAGAGCCGGTTTCAAAAGTACACAAAGAGATAGAAAGAGAAAGGAATTGAAGCTCATCACCTTTATGCGAGTTCGTGCTGAAATGTAGGCGAAACAGATCTGAAGCTCGACGAGAGAACTGAAAAATAAGCAAAAACAGAGTTGGTTTCAGGAGGTTAATACGCACCTAGAGACTAAGGCCTGGTCTGGGGTGTATCAAAAAAGCCAAAAAGTCAAAAAAGTTACAAAAAAAGCAAAAAAGTTATCACTATTCACAAATTAAAAATATTAAAAAATTAATATACATAATATTTTAATCAAACAAAATTTACACAATTTTCGGGGCAGAATTGACCCTGTACTACCATTAGGGGAAAAAAACAAGAATTACATATATAAAATCACTAAGTTTGACGGAAATGTTGGACCCTTGAGGCCCACCAAGGGTCCTGTTTTGATAATTCAAACTGTTCAATATGTAGAACTCGTCCAGAACTATATGCCTGTAAAAAATCACGTTGATCGAAAATCGGTAACTACATGATCAAATCAGTTTTGTATAAAAAATGGATGGTGTTATAGTTAACAGTTGACAAGAAAAACCGTCCAATTTATTCCCGAAACTGAGAGAATCAATCTCCTACACTATACCCTCTGTCGCGCTGGCCCATGCGTGTACTACCGTACGGGCTATTCCATCTATAACTTTCCCTATACACTTATTTATACAATTTTTTAATATACATTTTTTCACAAAAAGTCAAAAAGTTAACCCAAACATTCATATTTTTTCCCTCAGCTTTTTAGTCCAAAAAGACAAAAAGTACACTTATTTAGAACACCCCAAACAACTCCTAAAACTTACAGATGTGAACGAAAGCAATAGATCGATCAAATCCATCTAGAGAGAGAGAGAGGGAATTTGATCGCGATAGGTAAAATAACAATCCATCGATCGATCTGTGTTCTCCTTTAACATAAATTAGTATATATATATCAAACAGATCTGAGATCGTATATACAGATCTGAGTTTGTATACACACACAAAATCAGAAAATCACAGAATGAGACTCACAAAATTAATGTTGAAATCAGACTGATTGAGAGATGAGTATCCTTCAAACTCAGACTGAAGGAGCGCCTTGAGCAAAGCTGGAAAGAGCGAAGCCGGACAGCTTTCGATCGTGAGAGAAAGAGATGGAGAGTTTGATTTTGTGAGAGAGAGAGAGGAAAAGAAGTTTGATTGCGTTAGAGAAGAAAAAAGAAAACGGTGGATCTCACCACTTCACAGTGAGTTTTGTACAAATAACGGTGTCACCAATTTAAGTTTAAAATGGCACCGTTTGAGTCAGTCCTTTAGACAACGTTTCTTACACGTTGTCATTGTATATCAAAAGTGGTGTTTTTCTAAATGTCGTAATAGGCCCATTTTCTTGTAGTGTGATATAATTACAAATATCATGAGAACTACATCAAACACGACATTCACTAGAAAGTCCAACATATAGCCACAAACCAGAGAGTTCAAATTTATGGCCATTAATGTCCTCAATAGGAACAAATGAGTACAAAAGAGTCCCTAAGTCCCGAAACTGGTTTTTCGCCACTAAATTGTCCAAGATTGCTACTGGAAATGATGCCATTTAGGCGATTGTATACAGATTGACTTTATCCTCGAACAAACTTGAAACCTCATATGTATGGGAGATTATCCGATTGCATGGTACACCAGTCCGGTTTCCATCGTATCCCAAGAGAGATCTGGTTTTGCTTCTATGTTTTGGAAGAGTTTGCAAATGGCCTTAGGGACTAAAATGAAGTTTAGCACTGTGTTTCATCCTCAAACGGGTGGTCAGTCAGAGGATATTCAAACCTTGGAAGAGCACGTACTGTTGATTGAGTTTGCTTATAACAACAATTTGCAATCAAGTATCGGGAAAAATATTTGTTATTAAAAAAAAAAAAAATCAAACTTATACACAGGTTCTCTTGTTTACAATTAAAACTAATAATTTGTGGAGTACATATCATACCTTCAATCAAAAAGTAGAGAATGATGTGTGGCTTTGAGCTTCAAACACCACCAAGAGAACTTCACTCCTATTCCAATGGGCGGAGCCAGGAGTTGATCATTGGGGGGCCCGGAGTGAACTCCAAGCCGTGATGGATCAAGTTTTTGACTGTTCAAATGACCAAGGCTGGAGATTGCTTTAAGTTCATTGAAGTCCTTAGCAGACTCTAAGGATGGGCCCTCTACACATTCACCAAAAACAAAACAAAAAAATAGTTTATGGGTAAAATAGTATTCCCATTCTTAGGAACATGAATGCTAATCCACAAAAATAACATTAAATGGATTTTGAACCAAGATATTTTTCTTCATTTTCTTCACAACAAAATTTAGGATATAAGTGCACCGACCAGCCATGACAAATTTAAAATACATTTTTGGACTCCCCAACAGGACACACCCAATCACCCCTTCAAAACCCTATCTAGCATACCAATCATTTCAGTGATGATTTCTAGATCTACAGAGTGAAAGCCTACACCCCTCCAATCTCCTCTCTTCTCTCTCGATCTCTCAGTGGTTCATCACCGATCACCATGCTCTCTCCCTCTCTCAGATCTGTTCCCCCTCCACAACAACCTATGTGCTCCTTTTGGTCTCCATACGATCTCACAGTCATGCGTCATCCACCATGTCACTGGCCCCTACCTCCATGGGGCCACCTCAAACAACCATCGTGCTGCCAAAATGCCAACCATGATACTATCTCTATTAAGAATTTTCTTCAGTGACAAACAAGAAAGTAGCCAAGAGCTCTACAGAACCATTATTTAATGTGCTAGTGTGCATTTCATGGTGCATAAACATGTGGAGAGATATTGTGCTATCCAATGAACTTGACGGAGTTTCCTACCCTGAAAGCAAAAAGACGACTGAATTGCAATGCCTCTCCTAATTGTATTATCTTTACTCAACAACTTGCAGCCATACACAAGCTAGTAAAGTCTTCAAAATAACTGAGAGAGTCGCACATAAATTTTAGGATTTACTGTCTGTTAGGTCATCAATTGTCCAACAAAGCTTAAACTGTTAGAATACAGGTTCAACAATGTATATCAAACTATTCAACACCCTCCATCCCATCCCATGCAACTCTGTCTTGCATGTGGAGACAAAAAGAGACATATAGAAAGATAAGCATAATGCAAACAGGAACAAATGCAAACAGATAAACTTGAACCCAAGACCTCTCCAACTTTAGCATTGATACCATGTTAAGTCACCAATTGTCTCAAAAGCTTAAGCTGTTAGGAAATGGGCCCTACAAATTTATATCCAGTTATCCAACATTGTTAACAACATGCTGAACTCCCTGAAGTTCTACAACGTTTTGATTATGAGATCACTTTACCAAAGAATATTTTATGAAAGGAAAAGAGTGAATAAAAAAATATCCACATACAAATAACTTTAGAAAAGTCTATCCAATAAAGATCAAAAACCAACAAACAAACAAAAAAAAGCAATAAAAAAAAATGAAAGGACAGGTAGTACATACCTGCAGGGCGTACCTGCATGGTTTCTTGTTCACCACAATGAAACTAAAGGGAGCTGCAGCTACTAAAAGCCACTATTGCAGGTTTACTAGCAACCTCTCTCTGGATCAGAGAGCATTTTTGCCAGTTTATTAGCCTTCTTTAACTCGCCTCTTGAACAGAGTGAAGCAATTAGGGCATAATAAGAATTAAAGTCAGGCAATAGATATCTTTTATCTAGATTACCATGTGCTTTCACCATGTTCTCTAATGCCTCCGCATCACTTAATCCAAATCCCTTATCAGTTTCACAAGTGGCGTTTAAAGACTTAGGATCAACTGTAGCAAGATCTCTACTGTCACAAAGCTCCTTTAGTTTTTCAGACCCATCGTAAGCACCAAACCTCCTCGAAATAGGGAAAAATATAGATCCAATTTCATTCAGGACCATAATGGCTTCTTGGACACTTCCTTGCTCGCATAAAGAGACAAGAAAACTTTCTATGGACTCTGTTTTAACCTCAGTTTCAGCTATCTTTAGCAGATCCAAAATAGATTGCGTCTGAAGCATCTTTCTTAAGATATTCCGGCACTCTTCCATCCTTCCCTTAGCACATAGGCCTCTTATCAAATACATGAAACCCAAGAAATCAGGTAACAAACCTTTCCTTTCGAATTCAAAAAAGAATTCAAGAGCTCCTTCCATATCACCATTTTGGCAGCAGCCATTAATCACAGAACTAACAGTAAATTCATCAGGCTTAAGGCCCCTTTCCTCCAATTCAAGTAGAAGCTTCAAGGCCTCCTGCATTTGACCTCGCTTGCAATACCCGTCAATCAATGAGTTGTAAACACGTGTTTTTGGCTTAAAGCCTTTGAGGACCATACTTTCAAATAACTTCCTGGCATCTAATAAATACCCTTCCTTGGATAGAGTGGCAATCAGTGTGGCATAAGTGATCTCTGATGGAAACATATTAATTTTTTCCAATGAATCAAATAGCCTAAATGCTTCAATAAAACATCCCTGGCGACACAACCCATTTATAACTGAATTGTAAGTGACAATGCTAAGGGTAATCCCCTTTCTTTTGGCAAAAGCACAGAGATCTAAGGCCTTATCCATATGTCCTCCCTTGCAAAGGCCATCAACCACCATCGAGTAATCAACCACATCCATAACAGGTAGATTTTCTTCTCCTCCAATGACAAGTTTATATGCATCCAAAGCTCTACCATCCCTAGTAAGTGTTCTAAGAACAGTAACAGGAAAGGTGACACTTAATTTTTTCTCCTTCATTACATCAAGAAACTTAATGGCATTGTTTATGTCCTTCATGCACAGGTAATGGACTAGTGTCTTGCTTAATCTTGGTTCAACAATGCCATACCTTTTCACCAAGATGGTCAAAAAAGGGTGGGTCAACCACTTTTTGCCATCATCCATAAGTGCCTTCATGATTGAATGGTAAGACTTGTTTTCGACAACTGATCCCTTTTTCGTCATTAACACGTACACATCACATGCAGAGTAAAAATAGCCTCTCTTGCATAGGAAACAAATAGCATCATTACATACCGTATCAAATATTTCACTCCTCAAATTCTCGATTCTGTATATTAAATTCAGAACTCCTCCTTCACTTTTTTCTGAAAAAATTGCCTTGATCAACATCATATGAATACCTACATCTGAAGCAAGACCTCTCTCATGGAATTCTATAAATACCTCAATTGCCACACCTGCCATACCCTTCCTGCAGAGCCCATGAATAATACAATTGTAGCATGCAACTGAAGAAACTGATGTTGCCCTAAACTCATCAAATATCTCAAGAGCTTCATCGATCCTACCAACTCTACAGTACCCATCAATCATAGTACAATATGTCACAGAATTTGCAACCAAGTTCATTTCTGGCATCCCTTTATAAATTGCCAGAGCATCCTCAAAGGATCCCACCATAAATAGTGCTTTGATAAGGATGTTACACATAACAACATCCATACAAACTCCAGCTGCTTCCAATCTCCTCTTTGTTTCTAACATCCCCATGACATTCTCTTCTTCAATGTACCCATGTAACAATGTGCTGTACGTGACAACATCTCCAAGTATCCCCTTTGAGAACTCATCTGCCTCGGATGCTCTTCCGGCTTTGCACAACCCATTAATCACAGTGTTGTATGTAACAATACTCGGATTAACACCCCTCTTCTCCATGTCATCTAACAGATGAAACACCTGATCAAAATCACTTTTCCTGCAAAACCCGTCAATTAAAGTTGCATACATAAATTCATCAACTTTAATGCCCGAGTTTTCAACCATCTCAAGCACCACGAGCGCCTCCTCCAGTTTCCCTTTCTTGCAAAATCCCAACATGATTGCGGTATAGGTAACCAAATTGGGAGTTAACCTGTCCTTTTTCATCTTGTTTAAAAAGCCTACGGCCTTTTCCACATTTCCTTCCTTCGAAAACCCATCTATGAGTATAGTATAGCCAATGGTATCCATATCAACTTTTCTGTCCACTATCTCTCTATATTTCTGTAATGCCGCCCAAAGAACTCCATCCCTAAAATACTCATGAATCCAACAACTGTAAAATACAACATCAAAAGCTAATCCATCCTTCTCCATCATAGAAACTAAATTACAGACCTCCTCTAATCTACCCAGTCTACAATAAGCACTCACAAGTGTGGTATATGTCACAACATTAGGCCGTAAAGCACCCGAATTTTCAGCATTGTCATAAAACCCAACTGCCAATTCAGGTTTCCCAATCCTACAAAACCCAGAAATCACTGAACTACAAACAAAATTATCAAATGGGTATTTGATCCTGTCATCAGTCATCATTTCTAACACTTCAATTGCCCTATCCATCTTCCCTTGAGAGCTAAAACTTTGAATTAAAGAAAAAAAAGTAAAAGAAGAAGGCAATATACCATCAATTCTCAAGCAATCCCTCAAAACCAAAAGTGCCTTTTCTGGGTCTTTTCTGTTGACACAAAACCCTTGTATCAGACAGTCCCAGATGCGATTTTTCTTCAATAGCGAAGAATCCACCATCTGGTTCTTCATGAGCTGCTCAGCCTCTTCATATTTATGTTCTTTGAGAAGAGCCCAGGTGAAAATTGAGTGTGAATGAGCATTACCTTTGATATTATTTGATTTCATCTGAGAGAAGAAGTGGATGAGTGATTTGAATTTGTGGGTTTGAGAGAGAAAGAGAAGGAATTGGTTGAAATCTTTCAGGGTTGGAGTGAAACCACTTTTCAGAAGAGTTTGCAAGGTTGGAGCTCTAGGTGGATTGTGATGAGAAGAAGAAGAAAAAGAGAGAGAAGAGAAGAGTTTAGTGTTGGAGAGCTTAGAGAAGATCATTTACTATTTGTCTTGGGTTTTTTGAATTTAGGGAACGTTGATGTCGGGGCGGAGAAGGATTGAGGATGTGTTGAACAATGGACAATGGTGAGGGATGGTTTTGGGGAGATGATAGGATCTGTTTGGTTGCTCAGATATCAATACTCTAGCCGAAAATAAGATTTCAAAATTTCCATTTTCAAAAACAGTCGTGATACAGGCCTCGAATTCGAGGCCTCGAATTTGCCTCGAAAGTGTTTTTTTTTTTTTTTTTTTTTTTTTTTTTTTTTTTTTGATTTTGTGTGTTATTTTTATTATTTATTTTGTTTTTTTGGGTGGTTGTGTAGGAATGTACCAAAAAAATTAGATATTTCGTATCAATTCATCGTATAAAATTATATGAAATTAATAAATTGATCAGTCAATTTTATCACTCAACCTATCCAACCTAATTGATTGATCACTGCTGGTTAAAATTTATTAATTCCATATAATTTTGTACGATGAGTTGGTGTGAAATGTCTAATTTTTTGGCACACCCTTACATATGACTACCTTTTAAAAAATAAATAAATAAAATAACACAACCCAATAAATAAAATAAAATAAAATTTTAAAAATTAATCAGTCAATTTTATTATCCAATCAAAATAAAATAAAATTTTAAAAATTAATCAGTCAATTTTATCATCCAATCAGTCTAACCCAACTCACTTGCAGAATGTTTAATTTTTTAGCACATCCCTATTCAAAAAAAAAAAAAAAAAAAAAAAAAAAAAAAAAAAAAACAAACTAACTGTCTTAAATTAAAAGAAAAGAAAAAAAATAAAAAAAAATAATAATTGTACGGGGAGGAAATAATTCTCCTCGTATAATCCTGTTGACCAAGTCTACGCTCCTCCGTACGACGTTGCTTTCTCACCTGAAAACACAAACGTGAGCTAGCCGGAGGGTGTGTGCCGGAAACCTCTCCGATGCCTAAGTCAGTAACTTGACAGATAAACAAAAGCTCTATATTCTCAGAAAAATTGTGTTCAATTACCTCCTCCAATGTGATGTTTGTGAGCTTTTATAAGTTTCCTGTGGCACAATCCTAGTAGGACTTGTATTTCTCCATGCAGAGTCCTCCTAGGATTCATACTCCTAAGGATAATGCTTATCCTTTTACACCCTCCCCCACTGCTTAAACCAAGTGGGATGGTTTTCACTTTGGCCGAACTACTATATAACCGAAATAAGCTGGGCTGCGCAGAGCCACAGAGAAGGCCGAACTGTCCTTAGCTCGGTCTTTCTCCTCCAGCTCCTTATCTCGGCTTTCCCCTGTTCAACCATGGTGTGTTTAGATCAAACTTCCAAGTAGCAAGTTCTGACCGACCTAACCATAATACGTCACGACCGGACTAAACGCAAGGCCGGACTCACTTCAAACTGCCACCGGACCGGAGTTGCTATACACACTCTTCAACCGGAGTAACCACACCTCTCCTGGGCCGGAATAACTTCACTTCTCCTGGGCCGGAGTATCTATACCTCTACTGGGCCGAAATAACACTACGGCTTCTTACCGATTCTTTCACATTATGGGCCGCATGGCCCAACTCACAGCTCGGCCCAATTCTTTTCCAAAAATTACCCTCTCAATTGCCCCTTAATTTCATCTGCATAGCATGATTGAGATTACAAATCCTTCAACCGAGCTGAAGTTCTACAAGCCTTTCCAACCGAGATAAAAACCCTTCAGTGTATCCAGCCGAGCTAGTTTTACTCCGAACTCTGCTTTATCCAGTCAAACGTCTCTTCAATCGCGACTGTAACGCTTCCCTTTCCTTTGCCACGTGGCGGGCTCTGATAGGCCGTGAGCTGTCATCACGCCGCCTTCGTACTTCGAACTTTTTGAACAGTCCCGCCCCTTTTTGCCGCGTTTTTCTCTCTCCTCTTTCACAAAACAACCCTTCTGTTTCTTGGATCATTCACCTCCCATTCTTCATCTCCTCTTTCCGTGTTCTCCTGAGCCCCTGAGTTTTGAGCTTGCTGTGTTCGTGCCTCCATTGCTGCCATTGCCCCCATTTCCTAGCTTCTTTCTTATTCGGGTAAGTAAGCCTATCCTTCTTGCTCTTTGTCTGTTTTATCATCTGTATAGTTTTGTTTTGTATGCTTTTTGCAAACACTTTTTCCATTTGTTGCTTTTGCTTCTGTACTTTCACGAAAAAATAATAACAAAGCTCATGTGTGTATGAACTTCTGTAAAAAACTAGTCTTAGATCCAAAATCTCGCCCCAACCGAACTAGGATACTGTTTTTTGTGCTAGTGGTAGATTACTTTAGTCAATAGCCGAACTAGGACTTGTAGAGATGACAGTAGCTTCAAAAAATAACCTCCTGATTCACTTTAACCGAAATAAGATCACCGAACGAAGTCTGAATACATTAAACTAAGAACCTTAGTCTTCAACCGAGCTAAGCCTTTGGGGCTAAGCCAGCTTTCTTAGTCTCTAAACCAAACTCAGAAAGATGCCCCTAGTGGCTTAACCGGAAAAAAAAACCCACTGTTCGAACCGAGATAACAAATCCCTAAAGGAAAACCGATCTTGCGCACAATAAGTTCAAACCGAACTATCGAGTGTTGTGCAGAACCGAAACAGAACCAGTCCATAAAGCCGAAACAGGGCTCATTTACCTTGTTTTTAATTTGTAGCACAGTCCAATGATCTGTGCTTAACCCCTTTGTTTTCTACTTTGCAGACTTAGGTTACCCAGGCACTCCTACGTGCGCTCAACCGAGCTACTGGGCACAATTTTTGCACCGATATAACTTATTGGTAAATTATACAAATGGGTAAGTATAGGTACTTGGTAGAGACCCCTGGTGGTATGGCCGAATTCCGAAGGGATTATGGCATTCCAGACGATGTACACCTTACCCTAGCCAGGAAGGAAACCATTCCGTGGAATAACCAAGGATTCGTCCCCTTTACTGTTTTATCCATTATAAAAACCGGACTAAGGTTCCCGGTCCAGCCTTTAATTTGTGAATTTCTTAGGCAAACCAGACTATGCCCAACCCAGCTATCCACCAATACATACCGGATAATAATGGGTATCACCGAGCTAAACCGCCAAACAGGCCTAAACCTCGGTTTAGCCGAAATCTTCCACCAATACTCCATAGGTTGCAAAGATGATGGCTGGGTTTATTACCTTAGGATACGCCGACGTAGAGAAAAGATAATAAAAAATACACCGGATAAGGATGTTAATGATGATGACTTCTTCTGGGTATCGGGCAATTTTGAGGATCACCAAGCCCAAATCTCAGGCCGAAGTATTAACTGGAAGAAAGGGGAACCTGGTAAAGTTTACCTCGGTTTTATATTTTTTTCTTGTACTTTGGTTTCAGATGTTATAACCGACCTAACAGTTGTATCCTTTTTGCAGACTTAGCTCATCTTGCCTCCTATTACAACTACCCAAATCTGAACATACTTCGAGCCGCACTACGGATTAAGGAAAGAAGTTAGTCTAAGCTTCTAAGCTTTGAGTCGACCTACAGATATAGCGGTCGTCGAAAGCCCGAGTGACCGATTTCCTTCTAGAGGAAGCACCCGAACCAGACCCAAACTTGCCCGAAATACGACTTGTCCCACTAACAGCTGAAGAAGAGATGGCGAAGAAAAGCAGAGAGAGGCCCCTTCTGACCGCAACAACCAGGGCCGAAGTGCAACCATCCTTAGAAACGCAGCCTGCCGTTGTGGCCCTCCCTTCTCAGCA